GTCTTTTGATGACATCACTGGGCGTCGCGACGCTCGGCGTCGGTTTTATAGTTGAGTATTCAATGGCATCTAGGAACTTCTGTGCGTCAATTTTCAGTTATTTGGAGGCGTCGCGAGGATAGGCGTCGCGACGCCGGGCATCGATTTTCTAAAATCGCCCCGAATGGTATTCTAAGTGTCTGAGAATTATTCCTGCGTTATTGTTGTGGCGTCGAGATGGCAGGCGTCGCGGCGCTCGGCGTCGGTTGTCTGTTATGTCTCCAGTATCATCTGGAGACTAATCCGCGGTGATTTTGGCGTCTCTCGAAGGCGTGGTGATGTTCGGCGTCGCGAAGCTGGGCGTCGATTCACTAAATTCCTGACCAGTGATGTTGCAAGGCCTCCAGCCATCTATCTCACGTTGCGTTAGGTTTGTTTGTCTGTCCATCTAATACTCTCACGATGATTCAGGCAACAACGTTTAGATGGATGGATACGTAGCACTCAAGGAGGAAACGAGAGAGTAGGGTTGTTAACCCCTCCCCGAACACACGACCCGGAGGTCCAGAGACTCTTCTGTTAGGGTTACCGTACCTTAGCCGAGGTGTCCCAGTTTTAAGGCACCGGGTATTCGCCCTCACCCATCCCTATCAGGGGTTGGATTTGCTTGTGTCACTGGTAGATGGTCCACCAGCTTAAGCATTTCTTCTGTTTTATTGGTTGCACCTCCTCGACATCAGTGCATCCCACAAGACTATATTACCAGCCATTCAACCTCCTTCATCCGGGCTTGGAACCGGCACTAGGAAGTACGAAAGTACTTCCTAGAAGCGGAGTTTAATACGTTACATATGTAAATGGAAATTGAATCCACTTAGCTTTTCCCCCTGGTACTTAAATGACATCTGACAAAACGCAGCGTTGCGCAGTTGGCGACAGTCTTACTACACGCAGCGTGGCCGATGCTTGTGACTGAATGGTGCTGATTTCTGTTGACACTTGTGAAATTATGAGTATGGCAGCGAGTTTGCCGTTTTCTCCTACATCGGCCATATTTCCTTCTAGTACCTTATTTCCGAATGGCATTACGTCAATGAGCTGTGTGGTAATTAACGACTAATATTCCTGAACAGTGTCGTGCCTGTACCTGTCCTTTCTCAGGCTGACAGCCTTGATTTCTTTTCTTACTCTGACCTTTCCTCTCCTTTAAGGGAAGCCAGAGACCACCACAAATTGCTAGGACCCACTGTACTGCTGGGTATAAAGGAACACAGCCAACTACAAATCACGATCTTTCGTGAAAAGTTGGTAGTTATCTGACTGATCAGGGAGGTTCTCTGTCATATGAAAATCGAAGGTTTTTTCGTGCTCACAAACGATCGCCATTGGAGCACATCTTAAACCAATTCAGTCTCTTTCTTCCCTTCATATCCTATTTCTCTGTCATTTGTTTCAACCTTGACCTCAAATAGGTCCCACTTCAGCCTCCCGAATTAAATCTTATGTACAGACTTGCTGTGGGGCCCACCCAGCCTCCTATCCGACAAGTATTGGGGTCCTTTCCCGGTGGTAAAGGGGCCGGGGCGTGTTGCTAACCACTCACCCCCACCTAGAGCCGATGTTAAGAAAAAGTAGGAGCTATAATTCATCTCCCCCCCCCCAAGAAAAGCCAACGTGGCGAAAAGTGGACAAGCTTTACCTTTGACTTTGCCTTTATCAGTTATCCTTCGGAATTGTAAATTTTACGCGTTGTTTGTACGAAACATACATGAACGCATAAGTGAAGAGTCAACCCCGTCTCTATGTTTTATCTCTAAAAGTACGGAATGGATTTCGATTAAATTTGGTATTGGAAGCGTGTCGTAAGTTGTCGGTTGAATGTAACTTGAATCTCGGCCGGGTTATCAAGGATCGTGATTAGATATTTTTGCTTGGTTTCTGCAGGTAATTAATAGAGTACTGCCTGGATACTCCATGACCGCCTTCTTCCATATCCTTTTATACCCGTGACTCATTCATCGTTCATAAGTTACATTATTTATTTATAGCGTCAAACGAGAGGATGATAATGAACAATAAATTCAAAATGATGTGGATGAAGGCGATCGTGGCCTGGAGGGACTAAGAAAACCACGAAAAGAAATAATTTACAGACCGATTATAAAAAACCACTACAAACATTTCACCCACGCAAGATCACGCTATACGCTACATACATTTACGAAACAACATTGAATGTGATAACAAAGTACAATTGATCTAGAAGAGGATAACTTATATTTAATGGACAACTGACGAAGGATTGCATTTAGAATATTACATTTGAATTTATATCGATTATACACCTAAAGATGGTTCATTGAAAACCTGTGGCTGTCCTTAAACAAACCACAAATAATCACATTCA